GCAGAAAGACAGCAGTAAGAAGGAGCCAAGGAGTATCAGTAGAAAGGCTGCAGAAAGAGTCAGGAGCCCAGAGGAGGGGGCAAAGGAGGTGAGGCGGTGGGGGCAGAAAGTGGAAATGAAAGCAGACAACAGAACATTGCAAGTGAAAGGAGACAATTTTAGAGAAGAAAAAGTTTTTGGTCGCCACCCGGATTCGAACCTGGGACCTTTGAATGAGAGGCCAACACCTTAACCTCTAGGCCACGTGAGCCCCCGTTGCAATATCTAATTGTCCAGTTCAAGGCCTAAAAATATAATAGAAGCTAGTTCCCTTTTTGTGACAGCTCTATACACCAAAAGGAAATGAAGCTTTTAAATTGTTAAATTAATGTTGCAAACTCGTATCTGACAGAATTGGTTTCATTGGCCATAGCAAAAGCCATGTCATAGGGGAAAGAAAGACCCACCCCCACCCTTCCTTTTTGTCTTACTAAGAACTGGGTTACTTAATTATTATTGTGGCTTTTATTAAACACCTTCCACCTTGTCTGACTGCAGATCTTGATAGAACAAATTATGTTAGACAAACACTACATTTATTATTCATGGTGTGTGTACAATGTGTGCCATTCTATCTTATCACCTGCATGTATCAGATGTTATTTACGAAATCTACGTTTATAACTCGGAAAGGCTGTCGGGGGGGGGGGGGGGGGGGGTCATAGGTTTATTCGGTTTATTCGTTTTGTTCTGCCATTGGAATGATTCTATAACAGGAAATAATTATGTTCCGGCCCGTTGTCTCAACCAAAGATGCGTCACCTCATGCTGGGCTGAAATAGTTAATCAAGACGAACAAAAAGAAACAAAATGTGCATGCAGTTTTCTGCATCAAGATTACTCTGTCTTTCGACCATTGGATTCTTTATAATACTTTTAGCTAGCAAATGATACGTTACTAGTTAATAAATTCAAAATGAAATGCAAATGTTGAACAAGGATGAACCGTGAGTAACTTGGTTTGCAACAAATTGTGAAGTGAAGTGTGCTGACAAAATGAGTTGCTTCTCGGATTTGAGACCCGTGGAAATAGATACACCATGCTTGTAGGTTAAGTTACAATTTATAAGTTTGAAATCAGAAAAAGTATGATATATTTCACCTCTTCACTGCTACACAGAGGTCTGTTCTAGCTTGTATTCTCCACTTATTGTTTCACCTGATTGACAAAATAAGTTTTATTTGAATAGTTACAGCTGGTGATTTTGCTTTTTCTAAAACAATTCTCTGTGTTTAAATATTCCTTGAATTAACATTTTATCTTGTCAGTACAGATGTTGATGGAAACTTTTCAGCAGTGAAGAGGTTATAGAATATTGCATCAATATAAAATCTATTAATTTGACCCTAGGGTTGATTTTGGGCCAATATTTCCATTTGCGGATTAGGAGAAGTAACTCATTTTGTCAGCTCGGCTCACATTATTAATTACCTGGCGTGCTTCCATTACAGAAAGAGCGTCCGCCACACCCCAGCCAAGAGCAACTATGACGTGTCACTTAAAGGCCTCAGTCTGGATGACGTCAGACCTGAAACAGCTGTCATATCCTCACACCATCACTTTGAGGTTTGGCCTTTATTTGTCGGTCAACAATCGTCGAATAAGTACTGTACTAAAATGCTCTTTGTAAGCTTAGGTCAATATTGTTTGTGTGTTTGTTTGTTTGACTGCTTGTTTGTGTGTTTGTTTATTTGTTAAGTTGTTGTTTTATTTTTTGTAGCAAAGGTGACATTCCTTCTGGAAGCATATAATCATACTGATCATGACTCTTGAATGAAAGAAACGTTGTTTTATGAATGTGCCATATTAAATGTGAGGCAGCGTGGTGGAATCAGGCTCTCGTCAATTTTTGGGCACGTAGAGTTATTGGTATCATCTTAAAGCTTGTTCGCTTGTCTTTATTTGGATGAAAAAAAATATCCATTTATCTTGAATACAAGTCGAGATATTTGCGAAAGACGGAGGTGGGGGTCACTTGTTTTCAGAGGTAAAATTAGTGAGAAAATGACCGCCAAAGATTAGTTATTTCCTTAGCTTTAAAGTCCGTGGTAACTGAAAATATACATTTTTGTGCCTTTAATCAGCGTTTTTCGGGAAAATCCACACAGGAATGAGTTCTTTAATGGACATGAAAGGTGTTGAGCTAAAAAAAAATTGATAAAAATTCACAAACCTGTGGGAAAAAAAGCAAGTTTCTTCACAATGATTATTTTGACGAGAGCCTGATTCCACCACGCTGCCTCACATACAATGAAGTGCCTTCAGACTTGGGTCTTAAGCTCATGCTAAAGTAGCCAGTCATTTTACGTTTTTTTCATGCTTGAAACCTGCTTGTGTCTGTGTGCAGGGCACGGCCACCACGCCATTGGTCCCACCCATCTACCACTCGAGCACCTACTTCGTGGAGAAACTGGAGGATGTCCTGGCAGGCATTGAAGATGTAAGTTTTTATGAGACCCAGTGGTTCAGATCAAACTAAAACCAAGTACTTTAGTACACGCTGCAGAAAGTTTGACCTAATCTCTGTTTGATATACTGGTGTCCTAAAGATACATTTCGCACACTCTTTGATATACATGTACTATAATATGTTGTCTTCTGCATCACATATCACATTAGCCCTAGCTCCCTTCCTGCCCCCCCCCCTCTCTCTCATTCTCTCTTTCTCTCCCTCCCTCTCTCTCTCTCTCTCATTCTCTCTCTCTCTCTCATTCTCTCTCTCTCTCTCTCTATCTCGGTCTTGCCCTCTCCCCCCCCCCACCCCCCCCATTCCTCCTCCTCATCTCTCTCGCTCTCTCTTTCGCTCTCTCTCTCTCTCTGCCCCCCCCTCTCTCTCTCTCTCTCTCTCTCTCCCTCTCTCTCTCTCTCTCTCTCCCTCCCTCTCTCTCTCTCTCCCTCCCTCTCTCTCTCTCTCTCTCTCTCTCTCTCTCTCTCTCTCTCTCTCTCCCCCCCCCCCTAATTGTCTGTTTTACCACAAGACGAAAAAACAACAAAAACATGCCCTTGCAAAAAGACGCGGCTTCAACTTATGTTTAATCCTATCCGTACGTCGTGTTTTACTATCGTATCCATACGACGTGGGGAACTCTGTGCCACCACTTTCCAAAGAGGACATTTAATCAGATCCGTACGCTTTGCATAGCAGTCTGTCAAAATGATTTTTCGAGAAATACTGAAAGTTTCAAAGAGATCTTCACACTAAAAGTATTGTAAAATGTGAAGAACACAACCCCGGGGGAACAAAATGACCCCAGGGCGTACGGACGCGAGTCTCTACTCTCTGCATTTATTATGTACAGTATGGCAATAAACTTACACTTTAACAAAATCAAAAGTAAAAGTCCGTCAAAATAAAACAGGCATCACACTACTTTTTTTAAAGTGCGACTTTTAACTCATACAAAAAGGGAGGCATTAAACTAAATTCTTATAGGAATATCAGATACATACTTTGAAAAAGTGCTGCATTTAATTCTTCCAAAAAACAAACAAATAAAACACCCACCCCCAGCAACAAAACGAAACAGCAACAATAACAGCAACAACAACAGCAACAATAACAGCAACAACAACAGCAACAACAACAGCAACAATAACAGCAACAACAACAGCAACAACAACAGCAACAATAACAGCAACAATAACAGCAACAATAACAGCAACAATAACAGCAACAACCCAACTAAACAACAAATGAAATTAATTAAAAACAAATAATAATCATGATGAAATCTTGGTCCACAGGGTGGTTCCATATACTCGCGACTTTCCAACCCAACCACAGAGGCTACAGAAGCTACCATCAACGTCATCGAGAGAGGGGCGGGCTGCCTGACCTTCAGCAGTGGCATGGCCGCCATAACCTCAGTCTTCTTCGGTTTTCTCAAAGCTGGAGATCATGTGGTAGGAGGCTGAAGAGGAAAAATGTGAGGCAGCGTGGTGGAATCAGGCTCTCGTCAAAATAATCAAAGAGAAGAAACTTGCATTTTTCTGCTCTTTTGTGAATTTTCATCAAATTATTGTTTTTTGGCTCAACACCTTTCATGCCCATTAAAGAACTCATTTTTGTGTGGATTTTTCTGAAAAACATTGATTAAAGGCACACAAAAAAAGTAAATTTTCAGTTACCACAGACTCTTAAGCTAAGGAAATAACTTATCTTTTTAGGCCATTTTCTCACTAATTTTACCTCTGAAAACAGGTGACCCCTACCTCCTTCATACGCAAATATTTTGACTTGTATTCAAGATAAATGGATATTATTTTCATCCTAATAAACACAAGTGAACAAGCTTTAAGATGATACCAATAACTCTACATGCCCAAATATTGACGAGAGCGGATTCCAGCACGCTGCCTTACAAATAATACATGTATTATCATGTCTCAGAACAGTGTTGTGACTACTCGAAGTCCATTAGATTGTTTGTGGCCAAAGTTGAATAGTGTGTTCGTGTACTATGTGAAGGTGAGTGCATGTTTAGTTGTGTGTATGTGCGTGTGTTTGAGTTTTGTGTTTCTACGCGCGCGCGCACGTGTGTGTGTGTATGTGTGTATGTTTGTGTGTGTGTTTGTGTCTCTGTGTGTGTGTGTGCGTGTGTATGTGTGTGAGAGAGAGAGAGAGAGAGAGTGAGAGAGA